GGGAGGATTAATACTTCCCCTAGTTGAGTCGCTGTGGGGTGACCGTTTATATTGGTCGTTTCTGGGCTGACAATTCACGCACCTGCCAGCCCTTGCTGGCGTTTCAGCTTCATTAAACTTGAAAAACTGGCCTTGTTGTAGCCAGTCGGCGGCAACTCGTCAGTAGGCGTCATACATCCTCCGGGGCAGAGCTCCACACCTGACGACTAATTAATCATCGGCTACAATTGGCTGATGACCGAAGACAGAAAAATTATCGACGAGGTGACCATGTGCTTGAGAGAAACTGCTGTTGCCGTTATCGACCACGAACAGCAAAGGAACTCAACAAACAACTAAGGAACACGCAGGAAAGGTGAACGCATTTCAGAGTAGCATCATGTGGATAAGCGAAATTTGGTTGTTTCATTTGTGGCCCTGGGGCTACAAACGTAACAAAGGAGCCTACAGTCTTTGACGGAAGGGTTGTTCGAGTGAAATAGGACCGTCCCGCATATGAGCGGCGTAAGACGGGGAAAGCTGTCGGTTCAGTCACTGAGCCGATGTCGGTTCAAGTTAGATTCACTTAACCTGGCGCCTGCAGTATGGATCTAGATCTAACCTTATACAGGGTTAGTCGTCCTCACTGAAATCGAGTAGACGCACACATGGACGGCTAATTCCCAGTTTGGCAACGAGGGCTACTGTCAGCTTATGATGGCTGTCACAGAGATCCCAAGTCCTCAGTGTCTGGTTTGATTTAGGTGAGAAGTCGGCTCGTGTCATGGCAAACATCGTTTGAGAAGGTGTTGGGTCGGACGCTGCGCCCGACCGCATATCCAGTCGTCCTAAACTAATTTGGTTGCCGGAGCATTGGGGGGGGGGGACGTGAACAACTGATAGTGGGCACTCCCCTCTCATCATAATCCAATTCCGGCCCAAGTCATCACCCTCCTGAGGGAAAGCGGGCATCAAAGAAAATGACTGCTGAGTTGTCAAGTTGGCCGCTTGGAGCAAACATGATGCATACGAAGACACAGGAGACAGCAGATCCCAGATGAAGGCTGTAAGCCGGAGTCAGAAGAGTATTTGTCTTGTCTCAAGACGAGCACTCTGAAATTCCAGGGAAATAAATGCTGTTAAAAAGCAAACCATCAACCGCACCAGAAGATTGAAGTGGTCATAACAAAATGGATAACTGGATTTCGAGATGATGCCTTACCAAAGCAGGCCAATCGGAAGACCCCGTGATCATCGTCCTCGCGGTCGGAACTATTTCCTCGAAAAAAGGCTGATTTTTAGGTGTCGGGCGTCAACACAGTCAAATAAGATGATCATCTTTGTAATAGTGCGGTGTGGTGCTGATGAAAATACGCCTTCTGTTTGTCGTCCACGTCTCTGTGAGGCTTTTTACAGAGGGTCGGCCAAGTTCTCTCACACCATAAGCTGTCATTCAGATGAAACAGTTGTCACAATCGAACGCAGTTGCAATTTTCTCTACGGCGGTCGCAAATGATGGCGGTAGTTCGTTCGAATTTTTGAAAGCTGTCCTATAGGCTAGTTTTCCTTCAATATGGACGCCCCTATATCAAACTCCTTGCTATTATTATTGACAGACAAATCCAGTTTAGTGAACTCGAAGGAAGAAATTATGTGCAAAGCAACATTTTGAGCTGCGGCGAAGACTGCGTCGACATTTTGCTAAAAATAAGCTGAGATGTTGTAGGTTTCAACGCACTTTTGGCAAAACAGCACATTGGCGAGCGGCATTGTTTATCTCAATTTCAAAAGCGGGATTTATGCATTTAAACTGAGGAGCAATAATTATGTAAAGTATAGAGAGACATAATCCGCAAGACTGTGAATAGGATAGAGGCCGGTCGCCGACGAGGAAGTCTCCGTGGAGAATCCCAGTTGACAAACGAGGGACACGGTCAAGTCAGTCGCCCTGGCTGACCTCGTTCTCACAGGACGCCAACATCAGGGCTGGTTCGACGACAATGACGCCGCCGTCAGGAACCTACTCTCCGAGAATAACCGTCTGCACAAAGGCTACGTCAACCGCTCTACCGACGACAACGAAACAGCCTTCTACTGTAGTTGCCGCCCTTTGCAACAGCGGCTGCGGGAGATGCAGGACGCCTGGACGGCTCGCAAGGCCGAGGAGATGCAAGGGTACGCGAACCGCAACGAATGGAAGAACTTCTTTGCCTCGGTCAAGGCTGCCTACGGTCCACCAACCAAAGTAATTGCTCCTATTCTAAGCGCCGAGGGAACCATCCTACTCACTGAGGTGACGCAAGTTCTGAAGCGATGGGTCGAGCACTTCCGAGGCGTCCTCAACCGTTCCTCCATCATCTCTGACGCCGTCACTGCCCGTCTGCCGCAAGTGGAGACCAACATCAATCTCGACTTCCCGCCCTCTCTACACGGAACCATTAAAGCCGTGCAACAGCCTTTTAGCGGGAAGGCGCCTGGATAGGATGAAATCTCTGCTGCGATCTACAAGCACAGTGGCCCCCACCTTATGGAACACCTGGCGACGTTCCTCCAGGAAATGTAACGTCAAGGAGAAGTCCATCTGGATTTCCAAGACGTCAAAATCGCCCACTTTTGTAAGCGGGAGGGGAAGCGCCAACTATGTGACAGTTATCGAGGCATCTCCTTGCTGAACAGCGCCGGAAGGATCTTCGCTCGCAAAGCTGTGTGCTCTTGCCTACCCTCTTTGGTTTCATGTTCGCTGCCATGCTGATGGACGCCTACCGTGATGAGCGCCGAGGGATCCGCGTCGGCTAGAGGACGGACGGCCACCTCCTCAATCAGCAGCGTGTATCCACAGCGGTCATCCACGAACTTATCTTCACCAAAGACTGCGCCCTTAATGCAACTACCGAAGGAGACAGGCAAAAGAACATGGATCTCTTCTCCGCCGATTCCGAAAACTTCGGCCTGATCATCAACACGGAGAAGACGGGAGTTATGCATCAACCGTCACTCGACGCTGCCTATTTCGCACTCCAAATCAACGTGAACGGAACCCAACTGCAAGTCGTGGACAACTACACCTACCCACACAGCACCCTCTATCGCAACACCAAAATCGATGATGAAGTATCCCGCCGGATTTCCAAGGCTAGCCTAACCTTTGGCCGTCTGCAGAACACCGTCTGCAACCGTCACGGTCTCCATCTCAGTACAAAACTGAAGATGTACAAGGTCGTCTTCCTGCCGAGGCTGTTGTATGAAGCGGATACCTGGACGGTCTACAAGAAGCAGGCGCGGAGATTCAGTCCCTTCCACCTCAGCTGTCTTCGACGGAGAATGAAGCTAAGATGGCAGGACCGGATCCCCGACACTGACATACTGGAGCGGACAGGAATTCTCGGTATAAACTCCATGCTGAAATAACTGCGACTGCGTTGGAGCGGCCGCCACTTGCGGATGGGCAACGGGCGGCTACCCAAACGAGTATTATATGGAGATGTCGCCACGGGTTCCCGCGGCCAAGGAGATCAAATCCGTCGATAAAAGACACTTTGAAGACCTCCCTAAAGCGTCTGCAAATCAACCCGGCCAAGTGGGAATACCTCGCTCAAGACCAACCGACCTGGAGAAGGACAGTGAAGACAGGCGGAGCGATCTACGAGGCAAATCGCATCGCCGCCGCGAAAGCCAAACGAGAAACCCACAAATCTCGGCTGCACCCACCTCGCAACGCCAACACTCAACCGCTCCCAACGTGTCCACGGTGTCAGAGGGAAATTCTGGGAACCAATTGGCCTTGTTGGACACCTTCGGACCAACTGCAGCATTCGGACTGCACCAGCCGTCGTCTCTCCGTCCATCTCTCCCTCGTCCTCCACGTCTAAAGTCAACAATGACTGCACTCCTGACTCTCCACTTCCATCCTCCATTGCCTCAACATCTGCTGCGGCGGCTCCTGTACCCACCACCACCGCGCACACCGACAACCATCAAGATCACCATCGTCAACACCAATGATGAGGACTCGGTCCTAGCCTGTCCTGATTGCGATCACTTGAGAATCCATCACACAGAGACTGGCGAACTAGTGTCTGAAGCACCAACATACACTCGCCACACCTACCTCAATTGCTCCGCACATTCGCTCACTGCATGGGCCTATTAGGCCACATGCGCATTCACCAAAACCTGCGGTAGACAACTGCCGGCTAGACCGCGCCACCATATCTCCCTCCACCAGCACCCGCTACACACATCAACATCACCAATCGCAATCATCCAACTGCCACTTCCCACGCAAGTGGTAAATTTGCTTCTCGGCTCCTTCTCCATCCGGCTCCTCTGCTGCATGTGTGGTCCGAGTCCGAGACCATCACGGCGCGTCAAGCACCGTGGCTTGGAAGGCTGCTGACTGACGCCACCACTCAGTCCATCCGCGGTCTGTACTGTCGACAGCAGTCCACAGGACTGACGCCTGTGGCTAACAAGGTAGACCTTTCGACGTCATGACGACAATGACCCAAGGACCTTATTCTGAGTCTCGTGTCCTGTCTGGCTGGTTTGAGTGGATAACGACAGCCGATGTACCAGAAATTGCTGTGTACGCCTGTCTTATATGTTTACATAATAAAACATGTTTTTACAAATATGGAACAAAGCCACGACCGTTTCTGCGCGAGCGAGGTCACTGAATTGCATCGGCAGACTAACATGTAACGGTCAGTTAATGATTGAGCAGCATGCTGAAACAAAGAAAATGCAAAGGTATTGATACCTTAATCGATAACTAATATGGTATCTTTGTTGTATGACAAAACGTATCCAGGACTGAAAGCGTTCATATTACCAGGAAAAGCCGCATGTGAACCGGGGGGTTAAAACTAAATCCGCCCAAATGAATCAGGTTTGGATAGCAGGGAGTTAGAACATGAGACCTTTTTGTCATTGTGCGTTAAGTCAAAGATTTTTTCATTGGGTTTAGCTACAAAGCACACGTATACTTCCCCGTTGTCTTTACAGGTGTCGTTGCAAATACTGCCTTTACACTTAAACTGGGTTTCAGGTCTGAGGCAAAAGTGTTGTCTGTGCTTGATTTCATCATAAACTCGACAGTGTTCGCAAAACTGTCTTCTATTTCCTCCGCAACTACGTGGGAATGGTGCCTATTGAACTGGGTTACTTTCAGTAAACTTACTTTTTCTCGTCCCCCGCAGGCGGTCGCACAGACCAGCAGCAGTGATGCATAATTAATACCGAAGGGGGGGGGGGGGAAGAGACTGGCATGGTCACTTTTGGCTTTTTAGCCGTCGTCAGTCAGTCATACCCAAGTACAGCTTTGGACAAGCTGGGATTCGAACTCGGAACCACTGATCATTGAACGTTTTTGGTTCCAACGCTCTACCGTTTAGGCACGGGCCGTTGGCCCATCGGTTGCGCTCTGGAATACTAGCTAGCGTGAGAAGGACGGCCACTGATTAGGTTACAGGGCATGTTCGTCCCGTTCCAGCTTGTGCATTCAACCAGCCATCACAAGTCAGGTTCAGGATTGCACGAATGGGGGGCTGAAAGCCAGACTGTTTGGACATTGAGCCCTAAGTCGAGCGCCCTGGCATCAAGTTGGGTGTTCGCTGTTGCATGCCCGCGGTCGGGAATGTCGGTTGCTCTGTGGGGTCGCTGCTTTCTTGCACCGACTGCAGGAGGGAATATGCTAGTATCTTTCTCTGTCAGAGCTTTCAGCTGGAGTCCTTGTAAGCGATCACATAACGACAGTGTCTTATTCTCCAAAAAACGACATCGCCGCGTGGGGTAGACAGGAGGTTGCATGCTGATGAAGGTAAAAATAATTTAGCAGTTTTATTGATGAGCCAAAGAGATGGAAATTAAACTGTCTGCTGGTTTTAAAGTGGGATAAAATATCTCGCCAGGAAGCTTCCCCTCATCCCGTGAACTTTTTGGCCAGAAGAAAAGCAACAATGTGTCCCCTCCCCTCTGCTGACTGCAGACCTTGACAATTGGCAAAAGTCTTCACTCTCCCCCAAGAGCGTGCGTACTACTGTCATCTCAGGGGGTGTTATTAATTTGCGCGAAAAAAAAGGAGAACAAGGAAACCAATTCATTGCATGGAAGGAACATATTCCGCTTTCTGCATTAAGTTCGAAAAAAGTCCTTAGGTGAATGGAAGGACGAAAATGACGGTTAAATCACCTACTGAGAGGGTGGTACTTGAATTTGTCACATTTAGCGTCAAATATGGTAGGTGCAGCTGGACGTCACGGCGGACCCCAAAACGCGCAGCACACGGACAAAATCTTCCAGTCTGCCCTCCACTGGGAAGGCTTCCTTACGTGAGACCGTAGAACTGAGCAGCCTGTCACGTGGCTTCTAGTCCATGTACAGTAGGTTACTTGCTTGTGAATGTGAATCCTTCCGGTCCATTCGCGGTAATAGTAATGAATAAAAGATTGCTTTTAAAATAAAGTTAAGTCGATTAGTGAATGACAGGCGAAAATCCAATAAAGCTTTTATTGCACAACATAACCACTGTCATGGTAAGATTACTGATCACAAACAGACAGATGGCGGGATAAGTAAATGTGCACTGAAATAATATGACAACGGGTCTCGTTTCCATTAATTTCAGCAACGAAGCTTGGATATGTGAGACATTATCCCATTGCCATCCATGCGTAAAGGCAGCATGCTCATCAATGCAGTGGTAGTGGTGGTAGCAACGGTAGTAGTAGTAGTAGTAGTAGTATTAGTAGTAGTAGTAGTAGTAGTAGTAGTAGTCATAGTAGTCATAACAGTTTTAGTAAGGGTATTTGGAGCAGTAATGGCGGTCATCACAATTGACGTAGAAATGTTAGTTTAGTACTATTATTAGCAACATCAGAGGGCGTAACAGACGTACTGGTAATATTCACAGTGGTATTTGCTATGGTATTATTGTCGGTCGTAGCTGCATCATGCGAGGTGGTACAGTCATTGACATTAATCGGTGACGTAGCGCCACTAGCACGAGTGATGAACTTTTTCAATAAGTACAGTCAACACAGTCACTTTAAAAGGCTTAATGTGTCCCTTTTTGGACCAGGACTAGTCGGTTGATGACAAGAAGTGAAGCCTACCATTAGTACATATACACATATTCACTCAGAAATGGACGCACACCGATCCATTGGCTTCCCGAAGTAAACAAGCTTCGTATGGGTGATGGGGGTCACGAAGCGGCAACCACCTATCAGGCCGATTTCGGTCAGCCCATGATAGCGGAGGAAAGACGACAGAACCCGAGGGGTAGACGGATACAGCACTGTTTTGCGCTTATTTTGCCTTCATTCAGCCAACCATAACCATGACCATCAGGTGGGACCAGAAGTACAAACATGCGCACAGACGGAGTTCATCACTGTCTCGCCAGCTGCCATACTCTGTCCCTGCAGATGGCGTGTTTATTTACCCACGAATGGGCGTAGTGCATCTGGGGCCCGATACCACAACCTGTTACTTGAAAGTCCAGCGTCTCTAACCAATGGGATACGGGCTCGTCATTCTGTTGATTGCGATCGGGTATATACCCGGTGTGAGTAAATACCCGATCTGCAGCGACAGATAATGGCAGGTAACGAGGCACCGATGAAGGGACTTCCGACAAAGAAAAGGCAGATCGGGATGACCATTTCTGGTTTATATAGATGGCCGCGAATATCCACAACCGGTACACTTTACTGCTTATTATTCCTGACGCACCGAGAAACCGCCGAATAACGGAATCGCCACTAGCATTAGCAACAGCGGAAAAACGCAGTCTAAAAGGCTTCCCTCGAGCAAATTAGACCGCTTTAAGGTGAAGACAGTTGGTTCCTGTTAGATGCGTTTTAAATTTTTCGTTCCTTCTACCTTTCTCGCAACTGGCCAATTGGTTGACCCCGACTACCCGGGGCAGCCATGCGACCCAGCCGAATCGTCCAAGCGACACCCGGAGGACGTTCTGGTTACTCGCAATTTTTAGGTCACGCTGTGCACACGTATGCGCAGTGTCGGACGGTCCTTTTGCGCAGTCATAAAACAGCCGCCCCTTCCCCCGCGTGCACTGCACAAAGTGATTATTTCGCTCCTCCTCCTTCTTCTTCTTCGCTTTGCCAAACCCGTCCTTTTGCACGGGCAGACAGTCTGCATCCGCGCATCCAGAAGGCGGGGATGGGTGCCAGTTTCAGGATCACATTTCAGGTCCCGCTAAATTATTATTGTGATTAGGGCTCTGAGGCTGTCGTAGGGTAAACTGTACTTACTGTAGGTGAGCTAATTCATGAAACGTCGGCCGAAATTTCGAAATGCGTTCTCGTTTCAAAAAGATTAATTAAGTATGGTTTTCTAACTAAGCACCTTCCAGCATAATTTTATAAGAGATCCGTTGCCTCAGGGTGCCTTCTTTTGAACGAACGTATTTCCAACTGCATGCAAGAACTATACTCTGCAAAAATGAATACTTGAGTAGCATGCAATTTTCTCACTGACTTTAGATGCCCTTAAAAATTCAATTATATTTCATGGGAACATGCTTTAAATATTCATTATTTTACTTATTCGTTAGAAAATCGCGTCTTCTTCCAATTTTACACTCGAAATACGAGTATAATTCGGTTTTGAAAAAACTTTTCTAATTCCCGAATGATTTTGAACCCGACCTGCTGTTATACTTGCATTCAAGGTTTCAAAACTACAAGCCGTATGTTTTCCGTGTGCGGGAAACCATACATTTCTCTACGATATTAAGAGGAGATGACATGGGGTTTATAAAATAAAGCAGTGGATTTGAACAATATTGTTAACTTTACAAGCCAAAATAGTAAGTGCAGATACATGCCGTTTTATAAACGACCATTTCACGGTATTAAAAAACCTTACAATTAAAAAAATTTTTGAAGCTGAATTATACTCCTCCTTCGAGTATGAAATTGAAAGAAGCCCTTATTTTCAACCGGATAAATAAAAGAATGAATACTTTTTGCATTTTTATCATGAAGCATAATTGTTGACATCGAAAATAAATAAGCAAATTGCATGCCACTTAAGTAGTCATTTTTTGCAGAGTAGAGTTTTTGCATGCAGCCGGAAAGGAGTTCATTCGAAAGTCGTCACCCTTAGGTAACTGGATCATTATAG